ATATAAATGTGGGACAAGCCAGTTGGCTGAGACCTTTAGCAGAACCTTCTGGCTCCCAGCTGGGCACTGGTTAATATCAAATTTGGTGACGGGACAGACCCAGGGCGCAGGCAGGTTTCAAAAATGTAACAAAAAGGTTTATTTAAATAAGAAAAAGAGGGCTGATGGCAGCAAACTTACAAGATTTGAAGATAACAAGCACGAGGGAGACAAAGCTCAAGGAACAAGCACAGAGAACCAAAACAAACAGAGCAAAACAAACAATGATCCGACACAAGACTGAGACAAGACAGGGCTTAAATACACAGAAAACTAATGACTGAACAGAAAACACCTGAGGAGAAACACAAGGGTGACAATCAAGGTAATGTGGGGCAGCTGGGCAAAGACACACTGGGGAACATAGAAAACACTAGGAAAACTAAGGAGAATAAACACAGACTATGACACCTTCATGTTTTGACTCGTGTTGATGTTAAAGTTGCAGCCCTTAAAGGAGTTTGGTTTTACTAAGTTGCAACTGATGCAGACTACTTGTGGATTTAGCATTGCAGGAAAATCTACCATCTTATTATTATAGTCTCATTGAAACTGGAATGCTTGTGACAGTATGACCAGCTGGTTTTTGAAAATTTCAAATAATGAATAAAAATAAAAAAAACCAAACAAACAAAAAACTGAGAACAATGGAATACATCAAAGCTTTGTTTTATGTCCCATTCTCTTCTCATTTTCATAAATCATAACTTCCCTTTTCACTGTTTTGCTGATGATTCTCAGATCTACCCGCTTGTGCCGTCGTTCTCTTCAGACCTGTAAAGATCTGAATGAACATAGATGGAAATAAATAAATAAATAATTTCGAATAAGAAAAATAGAAAACCATTTTGTTTGGACAATCTAAGTTTATAAATGATTACATCATTCTGACTGACTCATTAGATTCTCATTGCTACTTGTTTGTTTTATTAATCCTTTATTTTACCAGGAGAGAAAACTCTTTGATTAAAAATCTCATTTACAAGAGTGCCCTGGCCAAAACTGGCAACAAAACACAAAGTTTCATGAAATAAAACTTAACAATAGCAGCATTTAACATAAAAAACTCATATGTAACATCAGTGTGTGTGAATGATTGCAATGTGAAGTCCTGGGGACTTGATAAAGCACTATACAAGTGCAGGCCATTTACCATTTAGATAGAGTAAAACATATAAAATGTTAGACCAGTCTGAATCAAAGAATCTTGTCTTTATTAAATTATTTTTAATTTCATTGTGCAGGAGTTGAAGCTCTACAAAACTCAGCAGATTGTCTTCTAATAGGAATGAAGCAGTGTGATTTTTCCAGACATTACATAGCCTCTCCTAACACTGGCTTTCTTTTTATTTCATGATCTGGTTTAATATTTTTTATTGCCAGTTTTTAAAAGTCTAAATTGCTTGCTACCTTTTAAATTTCTACTTAAAACCCATTTAACATGTCATGCTTTAAAATCCTCCTTTTACACATTCAAATCCTTCACTTGGGGTCTATATATAGTGAAACTGCAATGTTTTGGTCTGAAGTCCTTCTTATTGTAACTCCACAAGCCCCTCTTTCACCCCCTTTCAGAGCTAAGTCTCAGATCAACTCGTTTTGAGGCTGTCTCTTTCAATCCAAATGAGGCGCTTCACACAGTTTAATAAAGAGGTTTAGGACTACATAGCAGCACAAAAAGGTTTTATTTACAAATTAAATAAAAGATGTCAACAGAAGACTTGTCCATCCAGCCTGACATGTTGGAGCCAGAGTCTGATCCAGAGCCAGAGGAGAATGGAGACGACAAAACTGGAGTTTGAAAATTCAGACCTTATTTAAACATTCTGTTACACAAATTGTGCAAACATAATGGTTCAGAAAACATCATAGGAAATAAAGAAAATTGAACGGATTGAAAAATCTGACTGAAACAGAATATAAAGATATCTTTGCAGCACCAGGAGAGACTAAATTCTAATTTTCTGCACTGAGACTCAAAGTACACAACAAAATGCATTTAACGACTGAAAAATAAGATTTTGCAGGACATGTAAACTTAGTTATGGTTGATTTGGACATCTTGGCTTATTGATTTTGTTTATTTTAACAATCTTTATCTTCTTGTTTATTTGTTCCTCCTGTAGTAATGGCTGATTTTAACAGTACACTTTGTTCAGTACTTGTTCTGCACATGGTGTGTGAATCAGTTCGTTGCAGTGAAGCTGGTTGAGCAGCAGATGGCTGTAATGTTCCTGGTTGCTGTTCTCAGGTTGTGGAGAATGAAAGCAACAGCGCAGCTCGTTTCCTCTGACGGCTGCTTCTCTGGGCTTGTTTCAGGAGGATGCAGAGGAGCTTTAAAGCCAATCTGATATGACAGCTTTGTCTCGCAGGGCCTTGGTGGCAGCGGGTGACGAATAATACAAGGTGTTACGTAACAGACGTTGTATAATATTTACAGCATGTGCTTGAAGTGTTTATGGGATGTGTTGATGTTAGGCTGATAATAATTAGGGAAGCACTTCTCTGCCTCCCCGCAGCCCCTCCCCTCCCTCATTTTTCCATCTCAGCCCTTCACTCAGGGTGGGTTATTTCTCATTTGGACTGTGCAGCTCGTTTATAACCCTCCTTTGCAGCAGAGATCTGGTGAATGTTGCAGCCTGGGTACAGAGATGTTATGTTCTGGTTAATTTTTCAAGTTCTGAGCAGGAGATGAAGGAGCTCAGCATGGAGCTGCAGATAGACAGAAACATTATGCATATATATTTAAACCTCTGTTCATCCCACATGTAAAACTGGATTTTAAGTCTTCATGAGACTCCTTTATGCCTCCCTACCTCTGATTTCTTTGTTTGGCATGAATAAAAATTCCTTTTACATTGACAGCAACATGGTTTCTGCATTTTCCATGCTTTCAAATTTTAAGTTGACGAAGAGACCTCTTCAAGTCAAAATGCCTGACAGCTCTGTGATGCATTTAAATGTTTCAGTCAGATCTCAGATTATTTATATTTGGTGCTTAGGACATGCATATTAATTGAAGTTTGATGGCCACATGTTGCAGCTCATGAATTTAACATTTTCGGTGCAGAAACATGTTGGTGTCTCTGGAAAGCGATGGGCTTTAATGTTGTATGGGGAACTTCAGGGTGAGAAGGTTATGCTTTTCTCTTTTTGGTTTTACTTTAAGCTGATTATAGTGACACTTTGCTTTGATACAACAAAGCTTTTTTTACAGATGTGTTGTGAGAAAATTACCTTAAAATTCCCTATCAGACCCCAGAGGCAGCTTTAACAGCTGCTTTCATCTCGAGTCTGTCTGGATCACCACAACCAAATGTTTCTCTGTGGATGTCTGCCTGGGACATTGTGTTTCTATGAAACACTGATGATTTTTATTTTATTTTAATGATTTATTTAGTGTGTGTGTGTGTGTGTGTGTGTGTGTGTGTGTGTGTGTGTGTG